ACTTATTCCGGTGTCAAAGCCTTATGTCTCAAACGCATGGCATTGCCTTTGGCTGAGCGTCTTACGCAAGGGAAGTTTGCCCCCTGTAAAAGTCCGTTAAATCGGTACATGCAAAGAGCTTCCTCTGAGTTTTGGGTACGATGTGTGTGGGTGGTGGGACACCTTCAATCCAGATCTGGCTCGCTCTGACCCAATAGAACCGCCGATATCCCATGCCTGTTGCTGGTCTCTCACTAACAGATTTTTAAGGGTTGAATCTGTAGCGTACCTCTAGTGTATGATTCAAGATGAAATACATAGGCGGCCTATGCAGCTGCCATCTCAGGTGGAGTACAAATGCAGATCTACCACCGAAACATAATCATCACCGAAGCCTTTCTCGCCAGGCAACCAGGTTCCGCGTATGACTACACTACGTGTTCGGACTCGGTCATCCAAGTTCACCGCATGCGACCCGCTACCAATTTCGCCGAATCGCCAAAGCCAACCCCAGACTGGCAATCATAAGCGATACTCTGCTGGCTGTAAACATTCCAGAAGCTGCCGTCTGCTGGATCGTCGGTGTTCGGTCCCCATTGCTGGCCGATGCCTTTTCCATGCCCAGCAAACAATCGGCCAAACGGTCCAGGCCACCGGCATGGGGACCTGGTTGTTGACATGGTTCTGCGCCTCGAATCTCTGTTCAACTTCAACTTTAATCTGAGCCCCACCGCCGGCTCTGTAGTGTACACTACCAGTACACCTTTAGAATATGTAAAAGCTTTCCATATTCGCGGCGAATGAGTCACGCAACACAAGTGAGGATCCGGCAGTCGAAATGGGGGGCTCATGGTAAGGGATACTTGGGCAAATTGCGGTTGCCGCGTGGCTGGGCTCACACGGCGTGCAACCCACCGACCTATCAAAAAGACCTCTCGCCGTCAAGATTGGGGGGACTTTAGTTCTCTGGCAGCTTCCAAACTCTTCTTAAATCGGAGAGGAAACGACCGATTGGCGCACCAAGTGCGAGGTTGTTTATCTGCTGTCTTACCTTATCGCCCAAACCAAGACACTTTTCATTAGCTGCGTGCCATTCAAGTCGGTACGTACCTATGTTGTTTTAACCCGTTCCCCGGATTTGCACTAAGCCCTACACTTGGCTTGACATCACACGGCGACAAATCATCATGTCCATCGGTGGCCGGTTGCGTTCCCGACAGCGCCTCATCTTCTCACGCAATGAATTCGGGTGCCCTTGGCAGCATCACTTGACATCAAAGGAGGACCTCGTCTTCTTTTTGTCTTGACATTCGTGTACTGTCCACGGGCGTGTCGTTTGATGGCAACCACCGGGTGTCTTGTCTTCAACGGCCTGACCGTCGTTGTGAAGCCGCGGGACGAAACGCCAATACCGGTTGCTCCAGATTAGCTCACACCTTCTCCCGGATATCCGTCAGACAAACGGGAGGGAGTCATCATTCGTGAAACCTGAGGAAGTGAGCCCATGACGAAGGCTATAACGCAACCGCGCTGTTTTAACACTGTTCAATTTTCCGGGAATACAGTGAGCTAGATCCACTGAACTTGTTTGAAAGCTTCCGGTATGGTGATTCCCAGGTCGACCCCGTCAGGAAGAGCTTTGATGTCCATGTCGAAGCCTACAAGCTAAGACAACAGGCGCAAATGAGGCGAGCTACATAGGCCCGAGGACAACAGAGGATGAGTCTTGTGAGTTGTCGACTATCGAGGTGCGCGTTTCCATTAGACCTATGATTGTTTGTTGGCGGCATGGAAAAGGAAAACAGCGTAAGTTCCAATCATGTCTACCGTGATAATCGATAGAAGAAGTCAAGAAAATGTCAAAAGTCGAGAGGAAACGATCAAAAACGAATCTCCAAACAACGTCGACACATCAGGGGAAACACAACAACAGGGATGCTGGCTGCACAGTTCAAGGTGGGGTAGGCTGGCCGCAGTCCATTTGGGTGGGGCCCTGCCAAAATCAATTGTGGGGGAAAGCCTATCAATGGCTCACCGCCCAAAAGTTTCGCGCGGCAGAAAAAAACAAAAGTCAGCGATAGGCGACTGCACCACAGCACCGCCGGCACGGCAGAGGCTCCCGTCCTGTCTGTCTGAATCGCCTGCGTATCAATTGGTGATTCTGATTCCATTCCACTTCCACTCTTGATTCATTTGGGTAGTTGTCATAACCAAAAGCATCTACACCACCCGCAACCATCTTTTCTTTGCCACCGTTCTGTCTCTATATCGGCATTGTTATTGTGCGCTTCATCTCTTGTAATCTTTACATCCATAACCACCCACACATACCGTCAAGATGCCCAAGTCCAAGAGAGCGAAGGTGTACAACCTCACCCAGGTCACCAAGAAGAACCGCGAACAAAAGGAGAAGCTCTTTGAGAACATCCGAGAATGCATCCCCAACTACCAGCACTGCTTCGTCTTCAGCATCGATAACATGCGCAACAACTACCTCAAGGATGTCAGAAAGGAGCTGAATGACTGCCGGTATGTTATCTTCTACCTTCTTCCTACTCCCCAGTAACCGAATTCCATCGCAATCGCAGTCGCAATCACTAACCAAAGACTTCTTCTTCTTCCCGTACTACAGCATCTTCTTCGGCAAGACCAAGCTCACCGCCCGCGCCCTCGGCACCACCCCCGAGGACGCCCAAGCCGACGGGCTCGACAAGCTCTCCAAGTACCTGTCCGGCTCCGTCGGCCTCATCTTCACCAACCGCGACCCCTCGGAAATCAAGGACTACTTCGTCAACCTGACACAAGTCGACTTTGCGCGCGCCGGCTCCGTCGCCACGCGAACCATCACCATCCCCTCCGGTCCCTTGTACTCGACCGGTGGCGAGGTCCCCGCCGAGCACGACGTGCCCGTCTCCCACACGCTCGAGCCCGAGCTCCGCCGCCTGGGCATGCCCACCCGCATGGTCAAGGGCAAGGTCTGCCTGGGCGACGAGGCCGGCGAGGGCGACGACTACGTTATCTGCAAGGAGGGCGAGACGCTGGATTCCAGGCAGACGAGGCTGCTGAAGCTGTTCAGCATCTGCTTGAGCGAGTTCCGCGTCAAGCTGCTGGCGTACTGGAGCGCGGCGAGCGGGGAGGTTACCGAGTTGGAGAAGCCTGGTGAGGCTGGTGCTGAGGAGATGGAGGAGGATGACGAGTAAGGGATGTGTTCATGAATGATACCCTGAAAAGAGGGACGGTGTGTATGTGGTTGCACTTGACGAAGCGGTTGGAAAGGTCCATGATATAAAAAATCTGCCGTGCGAGAAGGGGAACCCCCACCACAACAACGCAACATCGAGGGACCCAACAAGAGGGTGTGGGGAGGGGACCGGTCAAATTTTTGCAAACGTCATTATTTCTCGTTTTTTACTACTTGGCTTGTTTCCGTGTTTTTACATAGGGAAAGGTTTACGATGATACCATCTTTGTATGGAACTTCTTCTTTTGGGGAACATAAAACAACCGGTCATCTTAGTTTATGTATTACCAGGCGTCTTTAGAGAGAAAAGGGACAGGCATATGAAAAGCTCGCAAAATAAATGGGCTGTATAACTCACTTTCTGCTGTGAACACGGTTAATTTTTTCTTCAGTGGTGACCATATGTGGCTATTGGGTGTTACAGGATCTGGTGACACCCAGCAACGAAACAGAACCTCGTCTATCCCTTGAAGAATATCCCGGAGTCGGTCAATGTGCCCCCTAGCCCAAGCCATTGCGTTCAGAGTAGATACCTCAAGGTAATATCTATGATACTTTCTTACCTACCGGCTCTTCAGAAGTTCATACAGGTCGGCGAGGTGAAGAGCTACAGCTATGTAGCTGAAGTGAGGAACTCCTAGTGTATTACAAGTTCATAACCCCATCTCCCCTCTTTCCCCCTCTCCCTTTTTCTCTCTTTTTCTCCAAAATCGGACACGCTGTATCGGTAACATCGTCGTTGACTCTCACTTTCCTCCCCATCCTCCTCCTCCTTACAAAAACAATAATAATTGTGTGCATTTCTCAACAGCCACGGGTTCGGGTTAGTTCGACTCCCGGTATCCGAGTGATAACGATCAAATGAAACACACTTCTTCCTCTTTTTTTCGTCAGTTTATTGTTTTCGTCCTTCTTCTTTATCCACCCTACCTACGTATCATACTTTGAGACGGCCCGTTTTGACTTTGAATGTCTTGAAAACAGTTGTTGTTGATACGTTTTTGCTACTGTGTGAAAAGAAACTTGTGGTTGTGAGCATCTTGGCTCGAACAGACCTGGTCCGGTATTTTTCCACTTGCGTGGTGGGTACCGAGGATGGTTACAGGCTTCCCTTTCGTTTGGGTTGGGATTGGTGCAGGTTCCAAACTTGTCGTTGCTATTTACAGCATGGTGAAATAGCTCCCGGCAGGATACTTACGAATGCGACCATCGACGATAATATCAGCTGTGATGGATGGGGCTGGCCTGAATTTTCATGAAGTCGGGAGAGCAAAACGAGAAAGTAAAGACATCGAGACTACTCGTGCCTATAGAGTTCGGGTGGACTACCAAGAGGTAGGTATTCATGAGCCGAAACTCAAAGAACACGACCAAGTTTCGAAACCCGTCAGTTGTCATTCCTTACTCGAAGTTTGACAAACGCACAAGTTTTCTGGTTGTGCTCCGGGATTATGCTAGAGGTGCCTCGATCATCTTTCTCGCTCTACACCCAGCAAGTACGCCGCCCACTTCTCAAAATGGTTGGGACTCAGAGAGCCAAACATGATGATGCTACAGTTCAGAAATCCAAATCTACAACGAAAAGCTTACCAACTTCATACCTTTTACGCTAACAATGTCATTTTGGTTCTTTTCCTACCTACCCACCCGTGCTTTTACTCCTTTGTTTTGATTCAACAGTACACGGGCTAAACAAAAACTTGATATGATACAAGTGAGAGAAAAAAAAAAAGAGAAAAAGGCGAGAGGACATAGGATCGAAAGCGCGGAAAGCAACTGGCTTTCGTTCTTTTTTACCTCGATTTTACCTTCCTGCAACGGATGCTGATTGATGTCTTGTTACTCCCGAAAAGACAATGGCGAAACGCTTTTGAGTGTACTGTCCTAAGTTGCCAAGGTTGTATGCGACGGGCGCCACACCACCGTGCATGCGTTGACGAAATCTCTCACCAGTGCCACCTGGGATTCTAGTCCTCCAGTTGTCTTTGGACTGATGTGACTGATAGACTGATTGAACGGAAGGCCGGACGGATTGCCATTCGGACTTGGGCTGATGAGCATGCAAACCATTGCTCTTTGAATCGCTATGACGCGGTTACCTTAGCCACCGGAAAAGATAATCACATCCGCTTTGGACGACCAAGTGTCTCGAATATGGATACCTCCCACTATTCTTCTGGTCGTGGATAGTTGACACGGTCCATAGTCAAGTATGACACGTGAGAAGTGATCATCGTGGCTTACCCTTATCGTCGAAGGAAAAGGGAAGAATAATACTGAGTGGAAACTTGAGAGCAGTGAGAGGGGGCTGATGATACCCACCACGAGACAAACCGGACCAGTATGTTGTTGTTGCTTAGGAGGTCTGTCAATGCTGTTTCGCAACCATCATGTCTAGTAGCGCCGCAACTTTCTGGGGTCTTCGTATCCGCCGTCGTACCCGCGTTTCCTGGATGAGTCGTCGTGATCTCTGGGCCTGTCGTAGTCGCGGCCACCGTGATACCCACCATCTCTGGATTCCCTTGGGGCTCCGGGTTCTCTAGGCCTGATGGGCTCCATGTTGCTGCCAGTCTGCCGAGCGTTGCGTTCGCCGCCGCGGAAACCTCCGCCGCCAGATCTGTCATCATATGAGCGACCGCCATCACGCCCACCGTACCCACCGCTGCTTCCGCTAGGACCGTCCCTGCGGCTGTCGCGATCGCGGTCCCTGTCACGATGACTGTCACGGTCACGGCCGCCGAAGCCACCACCGGGGCCATTGGGAGCATTCGACGGAGGCGAGAAACTGCTGCCACCTGGGCCGCTGAAGCCACGGCCGCCGTCACGTCCGCCGCCAAAACCGCCGCCACCGCTACGTCCACCGAAGCGATCACCGCCTCCAAAGCCGCCGCCGGGGCCGCCACCACCCCTGAAGCCGCGGTCGCGTCCTCTAAATCCGCCACCGAAACCACCACCGCGGAAGCCACCGGGGCCGCCGAATCCACCAGGACCCATGGGCCTAGCAGGCATTGCCTTGGTGTAGCCACGACCACCAAGACCGCCACCGAGACGACGAGGTTTCCATCCCTTGACCGTGCGGCCTCGCTCTACATCGACCTTGATGCGGCGATCCTTAATACGGGCGCCATCACAGCCATCTAGAGCAGCTGGATTGCGCATGCGCCACAGGCGCAGGTGTCAGTAAGGCCTTACCATGAAGAAACAATACTACCTTTCAAGGTATACGACGTGGAAGATGAATGGATAGAGGGAAGACGAAAAAGTTTCCGCAGGACAGGCAAGCTTGAGGGCCATTCGAGTCCTGGTTGTGGGCTTAGAGAAAGCACCGACAGCGGGCGTTTCCTTGTCTGTGTGTGCTGGTTGAATGTCAAGAAGAGGGGGGGTCAAGGGGGGCTGGTCATTACCTCTCATGTCCTTTTCGCGTTCGAAAACGACAAAAGCATAGCCACGATGGGGCTTTTTCTTCTTGTTTGGGTTCTCATCGGCGTGGGTATCTCTGATGATACGGATCTGTTTTTTGGTGTCAGTTCTTGTCAATTAACACACACATAGCTGTGTAATCATGATATAGGAGGGGGGGGTTGGCAAACTCACACGCTCGATGGGACCGTAGCGGCTGAACTCGCGCTCGAGATCCTGTTCATCAGCACGGTAGTCAAGACGCGCCACTATCAACGTCTTGAAAGCATCTCCTCTGATGTTGGGATCGTCATTGGGGTTGTCTACAGATAAACGCCATCGGTTAGCAAGCCGCATGACAGCAAGATAATGATCAAGTAAAGGAGTAGCGAGTACAACTGCGCGCAACGTTGGGGGTTTGCCGCGTACAATTCTTGGGACCCTCGGTCAACAGCTTCTCCAAAGCTTCCTTCTTCTCGCGCTTCTTGCGGTCGCGCGCCTCCAGCCAGCTCTCGGTGGGATGGTACTCGTATTCTTGCTCGTAGGCCTGCATGGCAGGAAGGAAGTCGGCAACGGGGGTGACGAAGGCCGACTTGCGCTCTTCGGGAGCAACATCGCAGGGCGGCACCCAGCGCAGAGGTGGCCGGGGCGCGAAGAGTGCGAGGAGGTTAGGCGGGAGCCGGTCTGTCATTGTCGCTTCACGTTGTCGCTGTTGTAGCTGGTCAAGTGGTGTTTTTGTTGATCTTATCTGTCGTCGAATTATAAAATCGATATGTCGGAAACCAGGAAATGTAGGTCGTCTGTCGTTTTATCCACTGTTCGGAAAGCCGGGCGAGAACAGTTCAATAAGGCTTAACGCTGTTACTGTTTGCCAATTCTTGTGATGACGATAATGTGGTGTTGTCGGTTTGCGAGAAAGGTCAAAACCGCATTTTCGCGACTTTGCTTGGACAGCTGAAGAGAGAGAGAGAGGGTGGGAGGCGGGAGCAGCAAAGGGCCCTGCCTGTTGTTGTGTCGTCCACTGCCTGGCAGCCTCGCAGCGACTGGAGCTCTTGCTGGGCAGCTCTCGCGCTTGACCACCGACGGAGTGCGAAAGAGGGACCGTGCGGCTTCGTCTTATCACTACGCACACACCCAAGGAGGAGTGCAATCGCGTGAAATTCTGCCGACCGCTTTTGCAGTTGGGCGGGTCCCCCCCCCAGTGCCGTGCCGGCGCGCGACGGGGCGGGAGTCTGGCAGAAGTTCAAGTCGCACCCGCCCTCCGGATCATGAACCCTGGTGGACTCGGACTTGTTGCAAGGCGAGGACGGCGGCGAAGAAGAAGAAGAGCATCACAACAATGACGGTAAAAGCATTGACGCAGATCTCCTCTGCCGGCCGTGTAAGTTAGACCACAGCCTGAGCAATTAAACAGTTTAATCAGAAGAAAAAAAAAAAATGCTAATCGTTGATTGTTTTGTATCTAGAATGGCGTCGGCGCATTCGTCTTGCAGTGCAAGAAGTTGGACATCCACTACAGTGACTGGGCCGGCAGCTCCCGGGGCATGAAGTACGTTTAGGATTCTTCGAATATAGACATCGTAACCTCATTCCCGATCGAAGACCCTCCGCAAATACCGACCGATACCTCTACACCTTCAACCAAACCGACATCCTCCCAACATCTCGAGACCATACCGCCGTCCCCGACCATCCACCACTACATGCCCTTTTTCTCTTCCCTCCCTCCCTCCCTCCAGTCTCCCTTCGCGACCTCTGCAGACAGACCCTTTCACTAACACTTCTTTCCTCCAGCGGCTTCATCAAATCCCTCCTCCCCAAATTCGCCGCCGCCAACCCGCAAATCGAGTTTGTCGTCTCTCCCCGGCCCGCCAAGCACCCGATCCTCATGGGCCACTACATCAACGGGCGCACCAAGGCCATTTGCGTGCGCAACATGGAGCCGCTCGAGGTCCTCAAGAAGGCTGAGCTCCTCCGCGACGCGAGCGGCGAGAAGCCCCAGAAGTTCAAGAAGCCCGTCACCAGCACGAACCCCAGTGTGAGAGGCGTCTGGTCGCCTTACCATGGGCAGGGTATGGCTGTATAAAGAGGGTTGGTTGGTTGGGAGGAGCAGGTGCTGGTGCTGGATTGGATTGGTGCTGGACTGGACTGATGCTTGACCGGTGTTGGCTCGGTTCAGTACCAGGTGGATTGTATATACCATGTTCAATGTATGAATATGAATTAAGGACATGAAAAGGGTTTCTGGATGTATCAAGGGTTTCGGTTTGGCTACATGGTTGTGATCAAGTCCTTCCAGAGCTATCGAGTTCCCATGATGAGTTGCCCCAGTTCCAAAGAATCAGACATTATCTTCTGGTGCTTGGTGGTTGACTGTTGATATTGGATCTTGGGACGAACATCTAAGAGCGAACGGAGGAGCCGCAGAGTTGCGGTGTCTGGTGTCACAAAAGTCATGAACGGGCTACAGGAAGCGAAACTACATTCTTCAATCCCGAACCGAACAAAATCAGGACATTTAACTTTTTTATATTTTCGCCGTGTCCTCAACACCATTTCCCAGCCTATATAAGTGCGGCTGTTACAAAGCTATAACTTTTATGGGCAAGTAATTTACAGGTTGGCGTTGATGATGTCGACGACTGTATCATATCATGTTAGCCATCTTTCTTCCTCTCGTTGCAACAATGGCAGGTACTTACACTCGGGCTTCAAGCTGGCACCGCCAACAAGGAAACCGTCAATGTCCTGCTCCTTGGCAAGGTCCTTGCAGTTCTTGGCGTTGACAGAGCCACCGTAGAGGATGCGAGTCTCCTCAGCAACCTTGTCGCTGACGTTCTGCTTGAGCCAGCTGCGGATGGCGGCGTGAACCTCCTGGGCCTGCTCCTTGGTGGCGACGAGGCCGGTGCCAATGGCCCAGATGGGCTCGTAGGCGATAACGACGTTCTTCCAGTCGTTGATCTCCTTGGCGAGAGCGGCGAGCTGGTTCTCGACGAACTTGATGGTCTCGCCGGCCTGGCGCGTGTCCTTGGACTCACCGCAGCACCAGATGACCGAGATGCCGTTGTCGAGGGCGTACTTGGTCTTGGAGGCAATGAACTCGTCCGACTCGCCGAGCTCGTTGCGGCGCTCAGAGTGGCCGAGAATGACCCACTTGACGCCGAGATCCAGGAGCTGCGTGGCGCTGATCTCGCCGGTGAAGGCGCCGTTGGGCTTGTTGAAGACGTTCTGGGCGGCAACCTCAACGTTGGGCTTCTGGAGGTTCTGCTTGACGAAGTCAAGGTAGAGAGCGGGAGGGGCGATCACGACCTCTGTTTATGTTCTGGTCAGCATTTGAGCATTGTACTGCTAATTCCACCCTGTTTTGTTTTCTTTGTTCTGGCGTTGCAGACATACCGGCGTTAGGGTCCAATTGGGCGTTGTTAAGGTTGTCAACGATGGCCTTGAGATCCTTACGGGTCCCGTTCCTGGAAATAGGGGTTTGTTTAGTTAGCTGGCCGAGTCATTACCGCGGGGTTTTGGTGGCATATGACGGGGTGCGATGATGATGGTAATGGCGGGGTAAAAGTGTTGGGGAAAGCTCCTCTCAGCTCTGGGAAGGGAATTAACGCACATCTTGAAGTTGCCGCCGACGAAGAACTTGCGAGCCATTTTGGGCGATTTGTTTGTTTGGTAGTACTGAAAAAGGGGGTATCTAGGGGGTTGCTGGAAACAGAAGCAGATGGCAAAGTTGTGATGATGATGTTGTTGTTGTTGTTGGAGTGGAAGTTGGAAACAGAGCTCGAGATGGGACAGGACGAAGTGGGGATAGGGTACCTCTATGTAGTGTACCGCTGGAGGAGGGGTGGTCGGGACTCAGAAGACTAGCTACTACACTAGGGCGGAGGCATCAGACGTAAAAGTGGATTATCATCTGCAGACCCAGAGGCAGTTCGGGGGCACCAGACGGAGTGAGCCTGTCACACATTGCGATTCCCGACCCGGAGCTGGTTGTTGTCCCTCGAGGTTTTCGTGTGTGAATGGTTGCTTGGCGGGTGGGATCCAGTTGCGAGAAGGTCCGATTGTCAATGGTGGTTCCAAGCTGCAAGTCCTCCTCTACACTACATCATATGACACCACTTCTCAGCATATCTCATAATGCTTTTTGTTCGAAAGCAAATGACACCACTTTCACGAAACAATTCTCAAGAAGACGGGACTCGGCTAAAGGTAGGTGTGTTTACTTTTTGCTGGTTTGGTATCATTAACTGGGACCCTTGTGTCGTCATATCTCCATCCAGTTGTGGATCGCTGTACCTGCGTCCGACTAATGACGCTGGAGTGTTTGTTGTGTCAACTTCCTGTCCGCTCGTCCGTTCGGCTCTGGGTGAGCTAGGTATTGTTGATCACCAGCGAAATGAGATATCGTGTACACGTGTAAATTGTCCGCCTCGTCCTTTCACTTCCTCGGTTCTCCCTCACGATCTGCACATTACCGCCTAAAAAACCCGCCCTTTACTTGCGGCTTCCTGTTTCGGAGCAGGAGGGTTTCCTTGAGGTTCAACGCTTGCCTCTTCACCTTGGGCGCCAGGCTCTGGTTTGTGTTGTTCGGCACAACTCTGAACACTGTCGAACCGACCTTCTCGTCCTTGGGACCCTTGGCCTCACGGACAACCTTTCTCCTCTTGGCTCCTTCGGCTGAATCTGACCTCCGGGGAACCTCGTCGTCTTCGTCGTCGGACTCCAAAAGCTCAAGGGGGAGCAATTTCGGAATCTCCCGCTTCCTCTTCTCGGCCAGTGCTCCCGCAGCATCCTCTTCAGACTCTGACTCGGCTTCATCCTCGCTCGGTTGCTCAACCTTCTTGGCGGCGCGCTTCTTGGACTTTGCTTGCTCCTTGAGAATGGCATCACGCTCTTGGCGTCTCTTCTTCTCCGCAGCAGCTTGCCTGTAGTAGTTGTCAGAATCATGCTTGAAGCGCGTCATGTTTCACGGTTCCGCATTGTGACTTACTGCTCGGCAGCTTTTTGAGCAGCCTTCTCAGCCTCCAAAGACTTGGCCTGAGCCGCATGGGTAGAGACCGCTTCAGGAGCTTCATCGTCACTGTCCTCCTCTTCCGAATCCTCCTCACTTTGCCCCTGCTGTTCCTTCTTCTCATTCAGCCTCTCTTCCAACGGGTTGACATCCGGTGCTTCTCTTGGCGTGACAAACTCCTCCTGCTCACTGTCGTCGAACGTGATACGCTTTCCCCGCGGCTGCTCGGTCGGGGTCTGGAACAGTTGCGATTCCCCCTCCATTGTCGTATCAGGGTCCTGGGCCTTGGCGGTTGATGTGGGAATGGGGATCTCGATCTCGACACGTTTGATACTCCTGGCCGAAACGGATGTTTCTGTCGATGACTCCTTCAAGGGTGTCTGAACCGTGCTTTCAACCTCCACCTGCTCAGTCTCTACAATCTCAGCGGCCCTCTTCAGGGCAGTCTTCCTGGGGGTGTTCTTCTTGGCCGCAGCCTTTGTTGAACGAGATGCCTTTGCGGGAGTGGCAGCAGCAGCCTTTTCGGGGGAGTTCTCCCTTGCTACTTGGCCTCGAGTCCTTGGTGCCATTTTTGATGATGCGCCGTGGCAAGATTTTTCAATAGCTTTTTGAAAAACCAACTTTCTTGTTAAGAACTGTATGTGAACTAATATTTCAGTTCTTAGGAAAACCGAAGATTGAGTGATTTGAATGAGGCGATATGAAGACAGGACGGGAATCTCAAGTGAAGGGACCAAAAGGGTTCGCAATTCGAAGGTTTGAACTTTCTCCAATTCACACTTTTTTTGGCCGACCAGGGTCTGGCAACTGGGGCAGGCAATCGCTGAATTTCCTGATTGGTTCAATTCCTGAGTGCTTGCGGTTCCTGACCCACTTCCTGCATTTAGCACACCCCCCCTGCGGAGGTGTACACTACACTAGACAACACTAAATCCAACGTTGAGGAGCACTAACAATTTCGCTCGCAGCGCTACCTGCTTCGCTGTACTTCATTGTTGTGACTGGGAGCCTATAACTGTTCGAGATGGCAGAAATGGCATCTTTTTATATCTCCCACGATTACAGATTATTGAGCTATCCAATTTACCATTATGATTTGATACCCTCTTTGCGTTGGGCCTGAAGACCAAAGCAAAGCATCTCTAAGAGGCAAGGTACGGTACTACCGGATGCACTAACAGCTAGGTACCCGAACATCAACAGTCCCAGAGCATATTCTCCACCACACTTCAACCTCACTTTATCTCCTTCAACTCATCGGTCGAAGTGAGCTCCAGGCTCACAACCCCTTTAAAACCCGTCATGCACAGATCCCGGGCTCTGGTGCGGCAAACATGTCGCCTTTCATCCCTACAACCAGTGTCGCCCGTTGCGCTTCATCATGTACGGCCGTCGATACCATCTCCCCAATCATCCTCATGGAGCTCGCCAAGTAGCCATGGCCAAGCGTCATCACAGCAACGATGTTCCTACGCCAAAGCCGCCAAAATGCAGCGGAGAAGAGCTGAAACGGGTCGCTATTTCGAAGAGTACCAAGGTCCCACCCTCGAACAATGGGAGTTCCTCGTCAACCATCTCCAGACGCCCAACCTGAGAGCGCAAGATTGCCTTGAGACTGTCCTCGCCTACATGGTCGTGGCCGTCAAGCACGAGTCGACCTGGAAGACGCGCATGATGCGCGAGGACTACTTCCCTATCTCGCGCCTCTACTACTGCGCCTTCCTGCTCGTCCACCCGCACTTTGAGGTGCCGGCCTTTTGGCAGATGGGCATGCACATCTTGCACATGCTGTCCACGCTCAACTACCCGCCCGCCATCCTGACCATGTACCGCTACTTTGAGGCGATCGCCCGCCGCCGCGACCCCAAAAGCGAGACGTACCGCTACATCCAGACCAAGTACCAGGAGCTGCTGAACAAGAATGACGCCAATGCCTGCACCTGGAAGGCCGCCGAGCTGTGGGACCCCAAAAAGCCCGAGATCGCGCTGATGTACCTGAACAAGGCCATGGAGGGCTACAAGCGGAGTCCGGGGAGGTACAAGGTCGAGCCCCTTGTCTCCCACGCCTTGGAAGGCGGCAAGAGTGAGAGACTTCCGTTCCTGGTCAAGATCTTGAGCTTCTTCAGCGACGTGAAGGAGACGATGCTGGGCCTGGTGGTCGGCAAAGAGACCAGCGCGTACGCACTGCGCAGGCGACTGATGCTCGACAAGTTGTTGCCGCTGGACAAGCGACCTGCGCGCGTGCCGCACTGGACGTGGGAGGGCATGTACCGCGTCAGGAAGGGGATGGCGCTGTCGATGATGGGGGAGATCAGCGAAGCCGTTGAGGAGCTGCGGATCGCGGCTGACGAGCTGGATGTGGAGCAAGGACATTATGCGCTTGCGGTTCTGATGCAGATGGAGGCTGAGAAGATCAGTGACTGTTTCAAGGGCGAGAGAGAGGAGGAGGAAGAAGTAGAGCTCGTGTTGTCGAGTGCCTTTATTGACTTCTACAAAGGTTTAGAGACGACGGACGCTCTGATTGGGGCTATGCGGCTCTTGAATGAGGAGGCGGAGCTACGATTCAAGAGAGCGGCGCAAGGCGGCGATGAGAAGGCGGCGGGAAAGCTGGAGCGCCTTTGCAAGACGAGATTGGACGAGCCCGGGCTTTCCAAGATGGAGAGGGAGACGTATAAGCTGGCTGCTAAGGAATGGGCTGAGCTCTCAGGCATGAGGAAATCGGTGTATGATGAGTTGCAGAAGAACACCGGCCCAATCTTTGCTGATCCCAAGTCGAAGTACTAAAACAGCAAAGAAGTCTGCCTCGGCGTATTCAGGGAGGCGGACGACTGTTGGCTCCCAGAGACGAAAGCCACGAAATACACACCATTGATACCATATTCAATATCAGCAGAAAAGCCAGAAGCTAGTGAAATTTCTCTACGAGGAAAAGTACCACTTTCTCACCACCCTATCACTCATCTCACCGTTCCTCATGGCCCTCCAGCCGTTTATCACCACCATCACCTCCATATGCTCCTCGACTTGCACCTCCCCGGTCCTCTCTCTCTAACTGACCACGTACCTACCTATTCGCGCCCATCTTATCAATTCCAACGCCTGACTTCCATTCCGCCCTAACTTCCACTTCCCAGATATTTCATCACCAATGCATGATCCTGGGACACATCCTCCCCATCACCATCACGGTCAGTGTCGATAACAGGTCGGTCGGTCGGTCGGTCGGTAGTCCAACTCCGTAGGTATCCTAGTCATAGCAAACAGTTACACAAGCCGTCACTCTCCTTACCTACCAACCCCAGTCCCTACCTTTACCCTGCCCTACCCTGTCCTATCCTATCCTACCCCATATCCCCAGGACAGGTAGTATAGTAAGCCCTACCCACACAACAGGCGAAGATCGACTCGAGACATGGAGGGAGGAAGTACTCGTTATCTCTAACCCGCAAAAAGCAACGACAACACTACCGCTATTAGTGGAATGTATACCCGAATCGAACGCATGTATCGATGTACACTGTAGAACAGGGACTGCGGCTCGGAGAAAAACAACGGACTTGTACCTATTTACATTGGTGATCATGAAATCGGGGGGGAAGACTCAAGGGAGAGAGAGAGGTGAGACATTGATGCTTCGGTTCGAAAGGTGTTTAGGTGGGTTGGGGCGACAGAAGTGAGTACAGTGGACAGAGTGAACAAAGTGAACAGAGTGATTAGAGTGATTAGAGTAATTAGAGTAATTAGAGTGATTAGACGGAGTGACTCGGAGTTTAGATTGGGAGCCTAATACTATTGGATCCTACCGAAAAGATATAGCTGGGCTTGGGATAGATGGAGTGATAATGGAGGTGTAAGTAAGTAAATAAGTAAGTACCTAGCTAAGTAGGCAGCCATGGAGGTAGATACCTGACTTGGCAGTTGGGCACCTGGGTAGCCACTCAGGTAACTGACTAACTACAAGTAACTAGTAACCGGATAAGTAACAAAGCTGAGTGTACAGTCAACGAAGCAATATTTTCGAACTCTCGGAAATCCGAGGCTGATGATATGTTGTGTGCCTGTTTATATTGACCCAGTCGCCATAAAGCATCATGATCACAAACCTCCAAATCATTGTATCGGGGTCTGGTGATCTATGCCAGTACCGGGTACCTAGATCTTCCCCCTAGTGAAATGCATATTGATTTGTGAAACAACTCATCCTTCAAGTCCCCCTTTCACATGTATCCAACAGTTTTGATCGATGGAGGTGGTTGTGACCAATAAGCAGCTGTGACAGAATAAGAAAAGCGGACTGGAACCTACATCGTAGCTTCCCTAGTTTGTAGATGATAATCCCAATAAGCGGCTTCCGTTAACGAGCTGTGACTGGCATGGGATGTTACCAGCTATTTCTCCTACCAAGATCTCTATGTCTCGCCCGTCCATCCGAGGACTCTTGCTTGTCTATTCGTCACTTTATTGAGCTGCCGATGGCCGGGTGCTCATTATTCGACATAGCTCTTAGAACCTAATTAGCATGGAAAGAAAGAATGAGGTACAGATTGGAGTGCACATTATTAGGCACTGACGAAATCTTGAGTTGTTGGCTCGCTGGTTCTCTTGTTGCTTGCTTCCTTTGTTGCCTAAGAGTAATAATGTAGTTGCTCTTTCCCTATTCGTCCCATTTCCTCTGGAACCTTCCTTCCATGATGCATGATGGCGGAAAAAAAAACGAACCAGTAGGGTATCGTGATCAGACCCATCCTTCCTTCCTTCCTCTCCCCTCGCCCCCAAATAAGCCGGTTCGAACAAGTGGAAATGACAAAAAAAAAAAAACAAGAAAAAGTGGAGGAGACTGAGGGAAGTTTTGAGAAAAAAAAAATGCAAAAGAT